TGTATTTATTATTTGTGTGTTTAAGAAAAACTTCATAAGTCTAGTTTTCAAATATGGCATTTATCTGTACTATCCTTAGATAAAATTAGCAAAGTGATCTCAGTGACTTTATTGGTACTGTTTAAGTTTGGAGAAGTGTATTTTGAGAGTAGTATGTAACCTAAAATCCCTGTGAGTCTTTCTCAGTCTCCATGGTAGGTTGTTTGTTTGTTTTCTTCTGCTCATCTTTTATGTGTTAGGGCTCCTTAGCCTCCACCAAGCAGTCCCTTGCTCAGTGCAGTTGTGATCTCAGCTGGCCCCATGGCTTCTTCGTGTACCACATTCTGATGCTTCCCCAGTCTGTGCTTGCCACCCAGACATAATTGAGGTATAGGACATACATCCAGCTCCCTTTTTGACATCTCCTTTTGAAAGTCCCACAGGGTTCTCAGAATCAACACACTCTAAACTGAGGCCATAAGCTTTGGTCACTTTCTCCAAAATGACTCCACCACCAGCATTTCTTTGTCTGAGTGCACACTGCCACTGTTCACCCAGGTACTTAAGCTACAGGCAGCATTCTGTCTGTCTTCATTCCTGTGTTCTGTCCTGTTAGAAATCAGGCTTTCTTTAAGATATGAAGAAGCTTTTGCTCTTTCTCTTTGGGAACCCATCTTGTGTTTTTGTCCCCACTTCTTTCAGTCCCACTGTGTCTTGTGATCCACCCAGGAGTGCTGCATATTGCTTGTTGCAGATGCCCTGGCTGCTTCCACCTTTTGGGGGCCAAGCCCTCCTCTTAAGTCCACGTGTGTCTGTCCCAAGATTATCATTCATACACTGAAACAAGATGGTTATAGAAATTCTACATGACCAACAGTGGGAAAGTGAAAGCTGCATCTTCAGTAATCAAATTGTGTCTTCCTAAATGGCTGTTAAAGAGCTGCCTCAATACTTACATAAGGAAATGGAGAAATTAGAGTAGGAGCTATGTGTCCTAAAAAACATCTGAACATGAAGAGAAGAGGTAAAAAAATCAGGGACAGAATGATGAAAATCTTTCGAAAAATTATGATCTGGGTATGGTAGTGCACACCTATAATCTTCACACTGGGGAGCAGGGGCTGAGGGAGGAGGATCCCTACAAATTTGAGACCAGCTCAGGCTAAAGAGTGAACTCAAAGCCAGCCTGAAATCCCGCAAGACCTTGTCTCAAAAAACAAACAAGTAAAACCTAATGAGCAGATAACTCTTACGCTTTTAAAAGTGAGAATTTTCCACCAGAATGGAAAACAGGAACCCCCATGGTGTAGTGAAATATTCCCTGTTATGACACATGTCCCAGCATGTCAGTTTTGGGGTACTAACACATTTGGGAGGCTGTTCATAGGCTTTCCATCTGTGCAAGTAGGGATCCACTTTCACACATATTTCTGATTTTCCTTTGTTGTGATTCTTTGTTTTGAGGCTTTCAGTCTTTTTAAAAAATTTCTAAAATTCTTAATTTTGGGTTACCAAGTGAAAGATTCCACATAAAAAAAAGTGAATACAAAAAAGCATAAAGAAAATCACTTCTGATTCTATTAATCAGAAACAAACATCATTAACATCATAGAGTTACAGCTCCTCCAAAATTCTTTCCTATGCTTGCAGATTGTGTGTGTGTGTGTGTGTGTGTGTGTGTGTGTGTGTGTGTGTGTGTTTTAAAACAGGGCAGAATTAGCGCCAGTATTTTTTTTTACCTCTCTGACTTATCAACTGAACTCAGCTTTGTGGGCATCACTCTGTTTTGCCCATCATCTTTTACCAATGGTTTAATTTTTACTGACTTGATCCATTCAGCATGAATTTGCCAAATGATTATGGGATGTTCAGGGATATTTTGTTACGTAAACATTGCAATCTCATTGCACTGTACTTGGGAATTGATAGTGTCTTGGAGAATCTAGGTCATGCAGTGGTCCTGTCGTCCTGTCCTCCTGACTGTAATGGCTACTGTGTCTTCTGTAAGACTGTCACAGTCCCTTGGTACTCTACTTCCTCCCAGTGTGTCTGATCCTCCTGCAGTCTTTTGAGTCAGTGACCTTCTGTCATTTCACTTTGACTGTTCTCTTCTGCACTTCTAGTTTACAGTGTTACTAGATCCCCCACTGATCCCTTAGGACATTTTGTGACCTTTTATTTCCATTCATTGTTGGGTTTTTCATGGTGATCTGTAGTCTTTATAGTTTCTAGAATATTAGTTATTTGTCAATTCCATACTCTAAGCCATATTCCCCAAATAAATGTAACTGTCTCCTGTACCACACCTTTCCATCTTGGGGGATCATCACACAGATACTGTCAGACTTTGGCTTTAGGGTATTTTGTGTCTTGCACTATTAGGAAAAGTTTTCAATTTAGCCCTTCTCTATCAACACTTCTTCTCTTGGAAATACAGAAGCTTGGCTCATTTGCTGCCCCATGGTTTTTCTTTTCTGAGATTCCTGGAAGGGAATGGGATGCCATTTTGTAGCTCCCTGTCTCCTTCCAATAGCATATAGCGCACTGAGGTTTCAGAAGGGGCTGCCACTCACTGAAGGCCTACCATGTGCCAGATCCCAGCCAGGGCTGCTCTGTGGTTGATCTTGTCCAATCCTCTATGCTTTCTCTGAGTGGAAGGTGGTATTCCCCTTATTTGACATTTGAAGAAGCTGAGGTTTAGGAACATTAGTTTGCCAGGGATCATGTAATTAATAATAGGGTCCAAATGAAAGTCTTCCTGGCTCCAAATCACTTGAATTCTTTATGTAATCTCAAATGATAGAACAGTCTCTCCATTCCCCAAGAAGGTTTTCAGCTCCCCTCCTTCAACTACTGCCCTCAGTATCCTCCTGGATCTTTTTTTGCTTTACATAGACTGTTTTTTGTAGGCCAGTTGTCTTACCAGTGCCTGCCACATGCAGCTTTTCTGGAGCATGTGTGGCCTTAGGGTGGTTATTGTTCCCTCCATATGGCTTTCTTCTGCTTTCCTAGCAAGCAGAACACTGAAAGATCTTGCTAAGACCTCCATATACCAGCTCCTAGCACAGCAGTCTTCCTTGCTTCTCCAGCTTTCTGACCTAGTGAGCAGCAGCTCCTCCTGCCCTTAAGGGGCAGGGCACTAATTTTGCCTTTCTCCTTATTACCTTTCTGTTGTTCATGTTGGAACTTATGATATGTGATGACTCTCAAGTTACTGACTAGTCCTGTTTCCCAGAGCTCTCTCTTTAATTGCCTTCTTTCGTCTCTGACCCATATCCTGACAGCATATCTACCTTAGCAAGGTCAAGGCTAAATTCACTTCCCCTCTACTGCCTCCTTTGTGGACCTTTCTTGTCATTTCCTGCCTTGGGTAATAACATTACCATCTACTGTCATCAGTCATGTAAGCCCGAAAAATATTATTTTACTCCATTTTTTTCCTATCACATGTTCAGTTCATTTTCAAACCTTGTTAATGGATTCTACTTTGGAAGTATCTTTTAAGTCTGTCTCCTATATTCGCTCTGCTTTTTTTGTTTGTTTGTTCTGGCCTTCTACACTTGCTTGGACTGTGTGAATGGCCTATAAATAGTATATCTTCTCAAAAACATAAAGCTGATTATCACTTCCCTTTAAAAAAAAAATACCTCTGCCATTTTACTCCTCCCTGCATGACACAATCCACATTGCTGCTATGGCAGAACATATTCTTCACAATTGGGAGATCATCTTCACTCCTCCAACATTATCTCTGCTCACCTACCCTGCCTAGCTCCCCACTCTGCCTCTTTGAATTTTAGCCACCAGTATTCTCACATGCATGCACCTGGCTCGCTTCTTTGATGCTTGCCTGTCTCCTTCCCAAAGTCCTCCTTGTATGACAGATTTTTTTTCTCATTCTTTAGACATGCTGGGTCCTAGGTAGATGTAGCTCGATTCTCCTTTGCAGTCCCCCTCCCCCACATACTAGATCAAGCCTCCTGTTGTCTGACTGTGTGCTTGTCTTCCTGGCTCAAATGGGAATTCTTGAGGGCACTAATGTACTCAACACCTGACAAATGCCTTGTTACACAACAGGTGATGAAAGTACATCATCTTGTTCTCTCCAGAGTACCTGTGATGCTCAGGACTGCTCCAGGCATCCTTCCACTACCCTGATTCATTGTCTTCCTATTCATGTCGGACTCCTGGGCAGTATTAGGGTAGTCATAGTTCCTTCCCATTCAACCCAAAGAACTGCACCTCCCTTCCAACCCAGGGTGATGATTTTCTCTTCTCAAATCTTCAGCATTCCAGGAGTGCCTCTGTCTTTCTGCTATGTTGGGAGAAAGGTCCCAATTTCTTTGCTGCTTTCTTTACTGTCTGTGAAGTCCCATTCATCCCGTGGCCTTGTGTTTTCTCAAAATTTTGCAAACTGGGGCTCGACCCTCTTGTATCAGAATAATTCTGATTGCTTGTGTGCAGTGCACCCCTTAATTAAGAATTAAGCACCCCTTAATTCTACTGAATGAGGATGTCTAGGACTAGGGATTTATATTCTGATTAAGCCCCCAAGGGATTCTAGTGTATCCTAGGGTTATGACTTGTTCCAGAATAGTGTATGCCTACTGATACTCAGAAAGAACAGTGGTTCCCTCAGACTTTACCGTAGCAGAAAACTTAACTAACCCTGGAATGTTCTGCCAAGCCAGTGCCCCTCCTGGAGGGTCACAGGGCAGTTAGCATATTATAGGGCTATTACACCAGTAACAAAAGTCTAAGACAAAACCTGATTTACACCAGGGAGCTCTTTATTCTCCCTTCATACCAGTGGACACTTGGGCACAGTTTTCTCTTAACAGTGGTTGCTCGGCAATTTATTTTGATGTTTACTATAAAGTGACCCTGGGATGTGCTTAGTGGTTCCTGGCACTTAGGTATTCAGGCCTGACAGTTGCTGCCCCGCTTTATTCCCTGCTCTGCCTTTGCTTCCCTCTATGGATCTCTGATAGCCCATCTCCCTCCCCCACGTCACCCTACAGGGGGTGTTCTCTATACTGCCACTGTGAAAAACTACCTGGGTACAGAGCCGATCATCTCCCGGGCCGTGGGTCGCACTGAGGATTGGATTCGAATAGAGACCTTGCCAGCCTGGCTTAACGGTGGGTACAGAGAGATGGGTCCCCTAAAGTACAGACTGGGTGGAGTCTGGGGGGCCCCAGGCTGTGTCTGTGGGTATCTGAGGCCATGATCTCCTCAGCCCCAGCCTTTGTCGCAGCCGTGGCCCTGAGCCCAGCCGAGTGGGGGGATGAAGACGGAGATGACGAAATCTACTTCTTCTTTACTGAGACTTCCCGAACATTTGACTCATATGAGCACATCAAGGTCCCACGGGTGGCCCGTGTGTGTGCGGTGAGACCCTTGTCTAGCTGTCTGTTTGTCTTCTCCTGCTGTGTGTCCTCCTGTCATTTCTTCTCTGGATCTCTGTCTTTGCATTTTTGCTCTGTCTTCTTTTTTCTCTGGCTTCTTTCCTGAGAACTTGAGGAATGTCTAGCTTCTCAGACCCCCTCAAGTTACTGTTATGATGCACTGTCCATAGGAGGTAGATAGGTATAGAAATTAAAGGGTGGCACCAGTGGCAGACAGACCTGGTTTAAAGCCCTACTCCACCACTTGCTGTGATCTGGGCAGGTTTTTTCTTTTTTTAAGCACATTTAAAATTTATCTGTAGAATGAAGATAATGATGTTGACCTGTGATTGTTTTGAGGGCTAAATGAGGAACTTAATAAAACATGTCATTATAAAGTGCACAACTAACTTTTTTACTGGCATGGTTATGACCTTATCTACTCCTGCATCTCTTTGTCACTGCAGTTCCTCTGTCTGTATGTGTTTTTATATTTCTATGCATGTTTCCCCATTTTCTGTGTCTGCCCTGAAGTCAGCGGAAAACTTGTATTTGTCCCCATACTCTTTGCTTAATGTTAGTCTTCTAAAGAGAATTTTCCATGTGCTTGTCACACCAGGGGGATCTTGGGGGTCGGAAGACCCTTCAGCAGAGGTGGACAACTTTCCTGAAGGCTGACCTGCTATGTCCAGGGCCTGAGCATGGCCGGGCCTCCACAGTCCTGCAGGACATGGCTGAGCTTCGACCTGATCTTGGAATGGGGACCCCCATCTTCTATGGCATCTTTTCTTCCCAGTGGTGAGGGTTGCTGGTGTGGAGAGTTATAGGGTGGGAGACAAGAGGATTGGCACAGGGTCATTGCTGTCTCCTTCAGAATGCATAGACTCTTCCATGGCCCCATGTGTGCTTTTAAGGGTCATTCCTTTTGACAAGAGATAAGTTGCTGTTTTTTAGCTCCCTGCAGATACATACTTTTACCCTGTGATCTTCCAGGGAAGGGGCTGCCATCTCTGCTGTCTGTGCCTTCAGACCACAAGACATTCGGACAGTACTGAATGGTACCTTCAGAGAGCTAAAACATGACTGCAACAGGGGACTACCTGTCACGGACAATGATGTGCCCCAGCCCAGACCTGGAGAGGTAAGGGAGCCAGGCCAGGTCTTTAGCCCAGGGGTAAATTGAAGAGCTGCCCTCAGGACAAGAGGTCTGCTAAGTATTACTGACACTTTGTTCTTTGAGAAACTGTGTCACCCAGCCCTGCATTTGTTCTAGTGTATCACCAAGAACATGAAGCTACAGCAGTTCAGCTCATCACTCTCCTTGCCTGATCGTGTGCTCACCTTTATCCGGGACCACCCACTCATGGACAGGCCAGTGTTTCCCGCTGATGGGCACCCCCTGCTGGTCACTACGGATACAGCCTATCTCAGAGTGGTAGCCCACAGGGTAACCAGCCTCTCAGGGAAAGAGTATGATGTGCTCTACCTGGGTACAGGTATAGTTAATAGTCAAACAAGTTGCCATATAGGGTATACTCGCATCACAGAGGGAACCCCCTAATACATACAGGCACCAGAGTCCCATGCACAGGGCAGTTAGGCCATCATTCTTATCCCTTTCTTGTCTCCTAGAGGATGGACACTTGCACCGAGCGGTGCACATTGGAACCCAGCTTAGCGTCCTGGAGGACCTGACCTTGTTCCCGGAACCACAGCCAGTTGAGAGCATGAAATTATACCATGTGAGTTATAGATCTGGGAAAATCCACTAGGGAGACATCTGACTGTAGAGATAGATGACCCTGAAGTCTGGGAGATCCAGCGTATTCCCCTTCCCTGCTCCCTTCTTGTAGGGCTGGCTCCTGGTAGGCTCCCGTACGGAGGTGATACAAGTGAACACAACCAATTGTGGTCGTCTCCAGAGCTGCTCAGAGTGTATCCTGGCTCAGGACCCGGCCTGTGCCTGGAGTTTGCGGCTAGATGCATGTGTGGCCCATGCTGGGGAGCGCCGAGGGTGAGTACGGATGACTGTGTCCGGTTCTGCTGCTAGTCCAGGGCTTCACCCATTTCACATCCACTAATGCCACCCTGTGTCTGTTTTTTGTTTTTCTTCTGTTGATGTCTGCATCATGTGCATGCCCATCTGTCAGCCTATACTGCTTCCATCTGTCGGTCCATTTGGTGCTGCCTCATCAGTGTCTTTGTCTCTCTGCTAGACCTGTCCTGCCTGTCCTGGTAGTAGGACTGAGTCCATGTCAGCTCACGACAGCTGTGAGGCTGACACTCCATGTCCATCAGAGAGACAGTTCTCTAGTCGACTGTTCTCAGTTTCCATCTTATGAGAGCTCTCAGAAGTGTTTGCACAGCCACCCATCCCTTTTTCCTTTCTTTATGTATTCTCCTCTTCTGTCTCCCTATTGCTTCCTTTCTCAGCCAGCTACTGATTGTTGACATTTGGTTGGGTTCCTGGCCCCCTCTCATTACACCTCCATACTCTCTAAGTGATGTAATTCTATCTCAGTTACTCTTCTCTTATTGCTGGGACAAATACCCGACACCCAAATTGAAGGAAGGAAAGGTTTATTTAGCTCACAGTTTGTGGAGGTTTCAGTCCATACTCAGCTGGCTCCAAGGCAGCCTGCAACATGGAAGAGAGCAACCTTTCATAGCAGTGGCAAAGAGTAAAAGAGCAAAATGGAGAATTAGCAGCAACAATGGCAACAGAGAGCAAGTCTGTCTCCTTTAAGTTGCGTTCAGGCTATCTGCCCCAGGCTGGGTGTAGTACACACATAATCTCAGCAGCACTCACACCCATAATCCCAGTGGGTCATGAGTTAATCACAAACTCTAGAAGTATACCCCATTATTGCATGAGGCTTTGGGGTGACAACTAGACACAAATCATAACACATTCTTCTAATTTCCAACATCATATACATGCTGAGGACAACCAACAGATTATTTTGATTAAGCTGTAGAATTCCCTATCCAAGTCCTACTTGATATTCCCTTAGGGATGCTTCACAAGCAACTCAAATTTAGCAGGTCTAAGTATGTACTACTCTTTAGTATTTCTCATCTAGTTCTCATTTTAATAAAGGACCCAGTATCTCTCCTGCTGCTCAAGCCAGACATGGCCACATCATACTGGAATCCATTCCAAGTCTGCCTCTAGTATTCCACGAAGCCGCCTTCTTCCCATCACCCCTGTGCCACCATTCTAGTCCAAGCCATCATCACTTTTTAACTGGACTACTTTAATAACCTCCTAATTGCTATCTTGTCTGTTTTTGGCTCTTATCATATATGAGACACTTAGCAGCTAGCTTAAAAACATGTCATGTGGAAGAAAATCCCAGACATTGTATTCATCCTAAATATTTCAGTATAGACCAATACTAGACAAAGATACTCTTGAAAACTTTTACTGTAGGAAGTTTCAAACATATTCAGTAGTAGAGAAACTATTTGTACAAATTTCCATCTATTTATCCTCAGTTTCAACAACCATCAACTCCTGGCCAGTCTTACTTCATGAATAGTTCTACTGCTTTCCAAGTATTTCAAAACAAATTTTAGCTATCATATCACTTCATAAATTCATAAATCTTTGTTTATCTCTAATGTGTAAATGATTCTCTTGCCTCAGCCTTGTGAGTGCTGGGATTACAAGCATGTGCTGCCATGACCAGCTTTGATTAAGGATTTTGACCTGATTTTAAAATTCCTTTTGGGGGAACTTTTATCCTTTAATACAAAAGCAAATACTTTAATTTTTTTTTCATTATTCTAAAAGTGATTGAAATAAGAATTTTACTGGTCTAGCCAGGTGGTGGCATGTGCCTGTACTCCCAGCACTTGTGAAGCTAAGGCAGGAGGATGGCTGTGAGTTTGAACTGCATAGTGAGACCCTGTCTCAAAAAAAAAAAAAAAAAAAAAAAAAAAAAAAAAAAATTTCACTGGTTTTAGATATCCTTCGTACTTGAGTCTTAAGTGTTGTTTAAAAATATGTGTAAATTTTGGGGTGTGTATGTATGTGTGTCTTCGGTTGGTATTTGTATACCTTCTGTCTTTCATACTTCAGTTTGCTGAAGAAAGAGAAACAGATTATGAGGTTCCTGTGGCACTAGCTGTACAAATGGTCTTTTCACTTTCCTTACTGTCATCTAAAATGAGCAGCCATCGGTTACCCATTTATACTAGTCTTGGAACTTATTTCCAGGGCTTTAATTTGTGTTGAAGGAGTTCATACTCAAGTGGAGTCGCTCTGGCAGTCGACCTCTCCTAGCAGAGTTCTCATTGGCCACCGCTTCTCAGGTAGTGGCACTAGAGAGCTCAGTAGAGAGTGATCCATCTTGCTGTTATAGTCTGCCCAAATCTTGAGAAAACCAGGATTGTGCTGTTTGAAACAGATCATCAGAAGCCAATATATATTAACAGCTGTAGAGAGACAGTTGCTCTTCAAGGCAAACTGCTTTTAGGAAACTTACACTCATGCAATATTTGCTTAGATTTTACAGAAAACTAATTTACTCTGTCTATTAATGGAAAAACAATAAAAACTACAGGCTTTTTAAATTTTTTTTTTTTTTAACAAGAGAAATCTTTCTTTTTTTTTTTTTTTTTTTTTCTTTTTTTTTTTTTTTTTTGGTGGAACTGGAGATTGAACTCAGGCCCTTGCACTTGCCAGGGAAGCACTGATTCTACTGAGCTATCTCCCCGGCCCTGAGAAATCTTGTGGTTGGGGATAATCAGGTCTGTTTCTTAGAAGAATCCCATTTCCTTTAAAGCACACCCAACAAACATCTTTACAGTAGATCATGGTCTGCTAGAAAAAAACTGTAGGAAAAAAAAGAAATAACTGTAGAATTTAGCATGGCAAATATCATGATGAAGTACATAAGGGATACTGGGGAAGGATTTGGTAAGGAGAACATTAACTAATTTCAAGGGTGATTTGGCAGGAGATTTAATGAGGGAATAAATGTTCCATGGCACTGAGATGGTGAAAGAGAATGTTGACACTGGATTTACCAGTTATTCTTCTCTTCGTAGGCTGGTCCAAGACATAGAGTCAGCAGATGTCTCTTCTTTGTGTCCCAAAGAGCCCGGAGGTTTGTATTGTTTACAGAAATATGGGTGGGATAGATAGAAAGGGGTTAGAAAGCTGTCCATTTCAACCTGCTTTAAAACTTGGATCCTGGAAAACATGGTAGCCAGTGACCCACCTCCTTACCCTTCTGAGCATCTCCTTTTTAGCTTGTTCCCATAGTGCTGTGTCATATCTGATATCACCCAGCATTTCTCTCCATCTCAGGCCAAGCTGTAATCTTACCACACTCTGTGTATGTGCTATCTCTCTGCAGAACACCCAGTAGTGTTTGAAGTTCCTGTGGCCACATCTGCGCACGTGGTCTTGCCATGCTCCCCCAGCTCAGCGTGGGCATCCTGTGTGTGGCATCAGCCCAGTGGAATGACAGCACTCACCCCCCGGCGGGATGGGCTAGAGGTGGTGGTGACCCCAGGGACTTTGGGTGCTTATGCCTGTGAATGTCAGGAGGGTGGGGCAGCTCGTGTGGTAGCAGCTTACAGCTTGGTACGAGGCAGCCAGCAGGGTCCCTCAAATCAGGCCCACACAGTGGGGGCTGGACTGGCTGGCTTCCTTCTGGGGGTTCTTGTAGCCTCTCTGACTCTCCTCTTGATTGGTCGGCGTCAGCAGAGACGGCGACAGAGGGAACTTCTGGCTAGAGACAAGGTGGGCTTAGACCTGGGGGCCCCACCATCTGGGACCACAAGCTACAGCCAAGACCCTCCCTCCCCTTCCCCTGAAGATGAGCGGTTGCCCTTGGCCCTGGCCAAGAGGGCCAGCGGCTTCGGTGGCTTCCCTCCACCTTTCCTGCTTGATCCTTGCTCTAGCCCAGCCCATATTCGGCTCACTGGGGCTCCACTAGCCACATGTGATGAAACATCCATCTAGAGCCAGGCCAATGAATGCTAGCATATGAGTGAACACAGAACAGAGTGACCACTGAGACCAGGTCACTGGGCCTGGAAGACTGTCATGGCCTCCCATTTTTTGTTGAGTCTGAGTGATCTAGGTATCACCTGATTCCTGATTCCTATGAGAGTTGGGGCTGCAGTGAACTGGGGTTGCCTCCCTTCCTCAGCTTCTGAGTCCCCATGACCCTTTAGCCCTGGACTGCTATCTTGGGCCCCTTAGCTTTGGTGATGGGGCCCAAGGCAGAGCTCTGGACTTTGCTTTCTGGGAGTGCCCTGGTTAGAAGGAAAAGCCATGGAGGTAGTTGGGGGCCAATATGCACTGAGTCCTTGAGATGGTTCTTTTGATTCTCCCATTTCATTGATTCTCTGTGGTGAATGCATGATTCCCTGTGCTGCAACACAGAACCCTCTGCCTGAGGTCCCCGTCCCAGTTTCCCTTCTTCCATGAAAGAGTGTGTAAATACACTGGTCATAGGAGGCCTGGCCACATGTGCATGAGTGACTGGGCCGAGGCTTAGGTGCTTCGACATAGAGATGGGAAAGGTTGGAATGGGAGCGTTACCTGCACAACTCCACACTCTGTACCCAGTGGGGAAATGACTTTTTTTTTTTTCCCTAAAAGGCAACAAAACACTGCCTCTCTCTTCACTGACCCATAACCTTCATCTAAATTGGAGTACAGAGAAGCTCCTAAAGTGACCTTCTGGGTGGAAGGGCCCTGGTATCTGACCCCATCCTTCCTTTTGCTTTTGCCCTCTGGTTGTCACCACTGCCATGCCATAGACACTCTTTTCCTGCCTGGAGTACAGGTTGGGCCCCTTTTCCTTGGCTACAATTAAAGATGAACTTCACAACATTCTAAATATTAGGGGCAGCAAAAGGGGAACAGTAGCATGAATATAAGTAGCTTAAAGATAGGTTGCATCAGTGACTTTACTCAGGTTGACACCTTTGCCCTAAAGGAGGAGTCCCCCACCTGGGGCCCATGGACTCCCTGAAATTGTATGCAAAACGTTGTCTGTACATCTGTACATGTGTGTCTGTGCTTTTTTGGTTGGGAGGGGGACTTTCATCAGATTCTCAAGGCCTTCACAAAGTTAAAGGACCACTGCACTTGGGCCAAGCCCCGGTGGTGCCACTCTGTGGCAGCTCCTTCTAGCCTCACCTGCTGCCGTTGGCCAGTCCCTGGACTTGTAGCTGCTGGAGGGCCTCTGTTTCTCTAATCCATGGAAGCTGGGCCCCAAGGATCCAAAGACATCGTCAGCTCTTACCAATGTCCAGACCTTCCTGCTTCACAGCTCCTGCGTGCTCTAGGATTTCTCCTGCTCAGTCTTGGTCTTGGCCTATGAATGTGCCTCATTCATCCTGGTGAGGGACTCCTTCAAGCTCCAGTGAATGGTCCAGTCCTTTCCAGTTGGAGTTTTCTGCTCTACTTTCCTTGGCAGCAGCCTGTGAACTACACAAGAGTCCCCTTGGGTTTGAAGTTTCAGTGGGCTTGCAGTAAAGAAGCATATAATCTTGGGCATATATCTAGGGATACTGGTTTACTTATCTGTAAAATGGGGATAGTCATACCTACCTCATGGTTGCTGCAAGGATTAAATGCGAAAACATAAACAATAAAGCACTATACCAGTAGATGTTGTTGTTGTCAATACTGACTTACCATGCCAGAATCATAGCTTAACCATGAAAACATGCAATCATCTTAAGTCCTCTGCGGTGGGAGAAGGGCCATTGTCACATGGGTATCTTATCCAAGTCACCTCTGGCCTGATCTTAGCTGCTGGAGACTGGGTTTTAGGCAGATCTGTGATTTTTATAAACCTCAGAGTGCCTGAACTTTGTGACCTGCTCATCGCCAAATCCAACAGGGTGAATGTTCATGTACTTGGTTTATCCTCACTGTGGCTCTACGTACTTGAGGTTATGGGTTGGTTCCACTTGGGGGAGGAAGGTGGGGAGATCAGTCTTTGTGGGGAAAGAGCAGAGTTTTTTTTTTTTTTTCCCAGAACCGGAGAGGAGGGTTCACAATAGATTTGGAACATGTGGCTCAGATTGGTGAAATATGGAATAGAAATGTAGAGAAAATGAGGGAAGATGGCGTAGGTATGAATGGTGGGTGCCACCACACCCAGGCTCACATTTTGGTTGTTGGGTAAATTCAAGCCCCAAGAGTGAAGGAGAGTGTGGAAATGTGAAACAACTGAAAGAAATAGCGTGAATAATGACAGTATCTTTGGACTGTGCTTGTGTGGGAAGTTGGAGTGTCCATGGCCAAGGGCACAGTGCAGGGCTGGACAGACTAAAGTCTCATCCCTGAGTTCCTGGAGGAGGATTGTTAGGATTCTGGCCACCAGGGTCTTGCCTGGTGTTTGTACATTGATGCAGCTATCGGGTGGTCACTTGTGTTTGTATAACCTTGAGGACATTGCTGTTTTCTGGCCCTCTCAAATTTCCTTGTGCTTTTTTTTTTTTTTTTTTTTTTTTTCAAGGGGGTATTCAGGGTCTCACTGCTAGATCGGACTCATA